ACCTCTGTAGCACTTCATTTCCCCCAAATCCACTTCTGCAGCACCCAATTTCCCCCAAAATCCACCTCTATAACACCTCACTTCCCCCAAATTCTCTGCTGTAATCCCTCCTTTACCCCAAACCCACAACCCCACTGCTACAATGACTTGTTTCCCCCACATCCACCTCTGTAGCATCCAATTTCCCCCCAGTACACCTCTGTAAAACCTCATTTCTCCCAAATCTAATGCTACAACACCTCATTTCCCCCAAACATCCCTTTCTAATGCTTCACTTCACCCAAATCCACAGCACTAAGATGATTTTCACCAAATCACACCCAATTTCCCCCCAGTCCAGCACTGTAACACCCAACTTCCCCCAAATCCACTGCTTTATCCCCTTCCTTCCCCCATAAACCCCTCAGCCATTGGTATGGGGGATATTGGTTGTGAATTTTTGTGCTCTTTTCCCACTCTTCCCCCCTTCCCCTCTTCCAGGGTGAGCACTGCAACTTCAGCCACGACATTGAGCTGCCAAAAAAGAGAGAACTCTGCAAATTCTACATCACTGGGTACTGTGCAAGGGCAGAGAACTGCCCCTACATGCATGATATCCTTTGGGAGTGGTGGCAGAAAGAGGACAGGACAGCAAAGAAAATGCTCAAAAGCCAAAAGGAACAGCCAGAAGGAGGGTGAAAAAGGCAGGAGGAGGGAGAAAAAAAAAGCAAAAGCAGAGCAAAAAAAAAAAAAAGGGAGAAGGAGGGCAAAAAAAAAAAAAGATCCAAAGGAGGTTTGGGGGAATTTTAGCCAAATTTTGGCACAGTTTCAGGTAATTCTACCCCAATTTTGGCACCAAAAATCCCACGTTTTGAACTCTGGATCTGTTAGAAATGAGGTCTGTATTCTGCCAGTGGAATGGAATGGAGTTTGGGGAGTGATTCTAGCCAGATTTGGACACCCAAATCCTACTCATTGAGCCCCCTCCTCATTAACCTCTCCCTAATGATCTTCTCCTTAACGAGCCCACGTGACTTCCCCTGCAAGCTCTTCCACACCACAGGCAACTGCATCAATGGTGATGACTGCATGTTCTCCCACGCGCCGCTGACCGAGGAGACACGAGAGCTACTGGACAAGGTACCAAACCACCCCCCTTCCAAAAAAACACCACCCTCGTTTTCCCCAAATCCTCCTTTTTACCCCCAAAACCTCATTCTTTCCATTTGCAGATGCTCCAAGACGATGCGGAAGCGGGCGCCGAGGATGAGAAAGAAGTGGAGGAGTTGAAGAAACAAGGCATCAACCCGCTTCCCAAACCTCCCCCCGGTGTGGGGCTGCTCCCCACACCCCCCAGGCCCCCTGCTCCCCCCTCTCCCAATGGAAGAGCCATGCCTGGAGGTCCCCCCGTGCCCCCCATGCCCCCTCCAGGGCCACAGATGCCCCCCCCGATGCACGAGCCTCTGTCCCCCCAGCAGCAGGAGATGTATAAGAAGATCCCATCTCTCTTTGAGATCGTGGTGCGGCCCACGGGGCAGCTGGCTGAGAAACTGGGGGTCAGGTGGGTGCCCCCCTCCATCCCTGTATGGGGGGGTTTAGAAGGGGAGATGGGAGTTTCAGGTGGGAAAGTGAAGGGTTTAGGGGTGGGAAATGGGGATT